GAGTCACATGCCACATGCTGAACACGCACTTGACCAAAGTAACTTTCAAAGTTTTCCACCAACTTGTCGATGTTGGTTCCTGGAACCAGAGCTATACCATGGTTAACCTTCACCAGCTTCCGTTTCAAGAAGGAAATTGAGCTCCCTTCTTCTTCCAAAACTGATGCACTAACGCTGAACTGTTCCTTCAACTTTGGCAAAAACTGTTCTTCCCAAAAATTGCGCTTTCCTACAAACAAAACATCATCCACATGCAACATCAACGCTGAGTGTTCATTTCGGCAAAGACATGGTTGCTCTGTGCACCACTCATAGCCAAACGTTTTCGAAAGGAAATCTCTGAAAAACCAGTAGCATGCTTTTGCACCAAGACGTTGGCCTGGGAGGTTCTTGGCTATGATGTACTTTCTGCCTGCCAGTGTCACTGCAAAGGGCTTTGCTTGTGGTACACATAGAAAAGCATCCTTGATGTCAACTGTTGCCAAAACATGTTCTGCTGCATGGTTTTCACAGCCACGTCGTTCAGCACATCGTTGCAAGTAAACCATTGGCAAAAGGTTCATCACATGAGTTGATGTCGCAGGACTGAAACAATCGTCCCTGCGTTCCATGAAAGCATACTCTCTGGCCACCAAGCGGCTACGTCGAAGCCACCTTTTGCTTACACTTCCATCATCCAAGGTGTAATCCTTGGCACGCCAGTCATGCACAAACTTCGTTGTCAAGGAGTCTCGAACTTCATTCTGGAAAAGCTCCTCCTTGATCAAAACCTCCATGTTTACCAAGCGTGAAATCTCAACCTCGTTTGCAAGCATGTCAACCCATTCTGGTGGTTCGTCAGGTTGACGCTCCATGTTGTAATCACTCCAAAGATCTTCTGGGACATCCTTGAAGTGCAGAGTCTTCATCAGCCCACAAATCGGCTGAGTCATCTTGTTGCTCCATGTCTTGGTCGTTCTCATAGTTGTCCATGGTGTGGAACTTCTCATTGCCAAATTCCACAGTGCTGATTCTTGAAGCATACTCCTGAGTGATTCTCTGGAGTCTTGAGCGCTTGGGATCATCGCCTCTGGCACGTTTTGCTTGATGCTCCTCGATGTCAACATCTTCATCACCATGTGTACGTGTTGTTGGAGAAGCACGTGGTGTTTGTGAACATATGCAACTTCCATGGTTCCTTCATCCTCAAAAATTGGAGTGACTGGGGCTTCACTGCCTGCAACACCAAGAGAAGGAGCAGGAACTCCTCCTGTGTCGGCTCCCACATCATCTCCAACCTCCACTGTTTCATCATCATGTTGAACTGCATCTGCATCACCAAAGCTAACTTCCGGTGGTGCATCATCTTCCACCGCAGGAAAATCATGTCGATCATCATGTGCACCCATTTCAGCTCTTTCTGATTCCTCTCTCATTTCCTCTCTTGCCTTCTCATGCACTGCTTCGGCATCTGCATCATGAAACGCACTTGGTTCGATCTCACCTCGAGGAGGATGAAATCCCACTGAAAGTGCCTCACCCTTGATTTTGGTAGGCACAACACGCCCACCTCCAGACTTGTATTCCCAGCTGTTGCACTTGAAAGCTGAGTAAAACGCTAAATGCCCCTTCCAGTCAGTGTCAATTCTTCTGATGCTGCGTGTCAACACCAAATGGCTTCCAGAGTAAAGAAGAAAGCTATCTTGGCCAACCACTTTTCCCAAAAACAGGGCTCTGCGCCACTTTGCCGTCCCCTTTGCACCAACACGAAAATACCCAAAAACCGGCTCTGCAAACTGAGCAATGGATCCTGTGTAGTGCTTCTTGTGGACAAGCTCAAATGGTGTCACATTGCGCACAACACCATATCTGTTCATCAACCAAGCTGCATGCCTGTGTGCCCACGTCCAGAGAGCGTGGTTTGTAGAGAAGTCTATGCCTGCGCGTTTTCTCACTGAGTGCATGAGGATTGAAGCAAGAGGTCTCAATCTTCCTATCACGTTCTCCACAAGTGAGTTGCCATGTGAGTATGCAGGAGGTGTCACTGATCTCGTTGCCAAACCCATGCTGAGCCGTGTTGAAACAACATACTTGAGTAGCTGTCGCATTGTGGGCTCGTTGTCACATCTGAAAATCACCTCAGCATGTCCTAGTCCAGCTGTAAATGACAAAACTTCACGTGTCATGAGCTCCAATTGTCCTTTCGATCTCAATGGCACACATCCAACATAACCTGAAGCACTGTCGACCATCACCAAGAAAGGTAGTGCCGAAACATCCTGAGGGTCTGCTCCTTCAGGAATCGACCTTGTAAATGCCAGATCAAAGGAAACTGTTGGTGTCTCTGAAGCTCGTGAACTGTCATCTCTCAGTTGTCTGTTTGCACGCGCTTTGAAGCAAACACAGCTTTCACACCAAGATTGGTAAGGTGTGTGTGTGAGTTCATGTTGCCTTTGGGCCTCTTCAGATGGTGGAACTGCAAGCGTTGGTGAATGCGGCTTCCTCTCAAGTTCAGCTGCAGCATGTTGGGCTGCATCCTTCAACAACTCAAGCTCAAGCTTCTTCAAGTGATTCACCAACCGTCCATAGCACTTCATTTTGCCACCAGACTGAGATATCCCATAAAAACTGCAACCGCTTCTCAACGCTGCTAAACTGCTTTCAACTGTAAGCTCAACGCCGTTGACAATGACTTTCTCGAAGTCTGCTGCATTCACAACAACCCTATCTGCAGGAATCTCACGACCATCAGCTGAAGGCATCAAAGAATCTTGATTTCCAATGTCACGTCCTCGAACCTCATCCTCTGGGGCAATGGCGTCTGGGTCTTGTTGATCAGCCTCATCCTGGCGTTCAGCTGCAGGTAAATCAGCTGCATCTTCCCTCATGCTAAAACCCATTGACCCAGGAGATTTCTCACCTTCAGTAACAAACGTAAGAACTTCTCTGGCACCTGAATACCCGTAAAATTCTGCAGACATGTCAATCAAGCTTTGCAACGGCTCACAAAGTTCAACCACGTACCAAAATCCATCATCTCCCTTGATCAACGTAGTGCGGTTTCTGACTCCTTGCATTGCAGGACAAACCAAAGTGGGATCTTGATAGGTTTCAGCAAAATGCCGTCCAATTCCTAGTCCAGTCTCATCCAAACTCCAGCCTACATGTCCATGTAAAACATCATCTCGAACCGTGGCTTTCACAGCCCTCACCATGACAGAAGCCTGACCTGGATGCTCACCTGAACCTTCGTCGCAAGAGATGGCCCTGATAGAGCCTTTGACCACCATTGATTTGTTCTGCAATTCAATAGGAATTTTAACACCAGTTGCATGTACCAAGTTCTGCTCACTTGCATTGACACCCCAACCGTTTTCCATGAGGCGTCCAAAGCACAAAATTGGTTGATGCACTGAAGAACTGATTGCAACATGTTCTCTAAGTACCACCTGTCTGCCAGTTTCATCTGTCAAGTGGACCTCAACATCTCTCATGCCCATCACAGGAATCTGTCGTCCCTGAGCATCGTGAAGCTGCAAGTCTGGCATGTTCGAAGCCATGCCTGCTGTTGCATACTCCTTTGGAAAAACAGCTGCATCAGCACCACTATCTAAAAGGATGCTTCTCAGTTCTCCATCATCCCAATCTGAAACTTCTTCAACCAAAACTCTGACATCACCATGAAAACGTGCATGCTCAACGTCATCACCGATGAAAAACTGCTGCAAAACACGTACTGACTTGGCACTGCAAGGTGAAATTGGATTCTGCCGCAAATCAAAAACTATAGGTTGTGGTTCATCTGAAGCACTGTTGTCGCCAAAATGGCATGAAATTTGTGAAACTCGGTACTGAGTGGCCGACTGAGCTTGGGACACCTGAGCGTTCTGTTGGGCCTGCTGTTGGCCATTGTTGTTTGAACCAACTGCAGAAGAAGTTGAACCCTGATTTTGGTCAGAGTTCTGCACAACTCTCACCTTAGACCAACAGTCCTTGGCGTAGTGTCCAGCTTTGCCACACTTGAAACACTGCTTGTTGCTCTTATCTGACTTTCTTTGTCCTTTGGGCTCATTCTGTTTGCCTTTTCCACCTTTGTCACCTTTTGAAAATGACTTGCCGCCATCTTTTCCTTTGGATTTCGACTTGCCTTTTCCTTTGTAGTCACTGCTATAGCCCTTTGAGTCACCCTTGTATTTGCCTTTGTCACCCTTTCCTTTTCTCCAGCCTTTCTCACCAATGTTGTCAACCTCCATTGGCACTGCATCATCAGCTCGACTGTCTTCTGAAGGAATGACAAGTCCTGTCCATTTCTGTTGTGACCTGTCCCAACGCAAGACCTGATCTCGTACATCTGAGTATTTTGCTGAACCATCAAGCATCAAGTTCAGCTGCGTCTTCAAAGGACCAGTAATACACTTAAGTAAAATGGCCACCTTGAGTTCCTCCTGAACAGGAGTTCCAGACTTGCGTGTTTCTTCAAACATTTCCTCCAGCTTAATCAACTGACTGAGCAAAGGTTTCTGCATGTTGAAGGAAGGGTATGAGGTGATTGCAGAAAGTAAAGCAAGACCTCTCGTTTGAGTGTTGGGCTTCAAGTTGAGGATCAGCTGTCTGAGAGCTTCATAGCCATCAGAGTTGGGTGTAGCTCGAACAACGCTAAGGGCTCTGTTGCGCACCAAAGAAGCCAGCTTATTTCTAGTGAAGGTGGCTGCTGGTATATCCGAGAGAAAACAAACGCCAAGTTGCAAACACAGCACTCAGTGCAAATCATTGGGATGTTAAAACCCTTCACTCAAAAAATCGCTCACGCTGAAAACTACGCAAAATATTCAAACGCATTGACATGAAACCAAATGTTGGTCAGAGAGATTCCGAAGCGCACACTCTTTTTTGACACCAGTGACAACGGCCTGTGCAAGTTCGAGTCGTCAATCTGTCGAATCGATTGTGTCATCACCAGTTCAAGCAATCGATAAATTGCCTGCCAGAAAGAAGTTGCTTCCAAAATGAATTGTATTCACCTGTTGGCAGGTGCATACCAAAAGTGGTCCGCAAAGCATTTTGCAACTACAAAACCTTCGCTGTCAACCACCACACCCTCTGCATCTCCTGTGAGGTCGAAATACATCCCCATATGTGCGTTAGACATCAACACTGTGTCCGCGCAGGGAAGCAATCTCGAAACATCCATATCACCTGGGGGAGAAAAGTAGCTCCCTGGGGTTCTCCATGACATGTTGTAGTCCCTGTAGAAATCCAAACTGATGCCCTCTGCTTGATAAGCCTTCTGCTGCACGGCAAGTGGAACATACATCCCGCTTGTGCCACTGTAGCCTCCATTTCCCAAATTTATGGGCGCCACCTTGGGATACTGGGCTTGGACTTGAGCCCACTCGTCAACATAGCCTTCTTGCCAAGCCTCCACATTGATGTGAACGTAGGTCACACTGCGGCCACAACCTCGATCTGCGTTGCCCAAAGGATTTGTGCACCCCATCAAAGCATAGAAAGCATCCACGGCGAGTCCTCCTGTACCTTTCAGCTCCGTGTTGTAACCCAGCATCTCCTGGTGCCACTTGGAGGGCAGCACTCAGCTACATGTGGTGTACGTCGCTGGACCATGTTATTGTGGACATTTGTTGTTATATACGCATTTTATCGCATTTACGCCCCGTACCCTCACCCACTGAAAGTGGGAAAATGAAGATCCCTGCATGCCTGTTTTGAAGGGTGGCAAAGGCTGGCAAAAGTGTGGGTTCGCGCGGAAATTAGTGAATCACCCGCTACCAGTACTGTCAATGTGGGTCATCTGCGGGCCCCTCCTCCACCATAATCTGCACCACAGCGGTAGTAAGGTGGGCAGCGGCATAGTTACCAGTTTTCCAAAGCCCAATGGAATAGGACTCACCTGCGACCACATTCACCAAATCCCTGCGGTCAACCTCTGCTGTGGCATTGGGCAAGCACGCACCTTTGCTGCCTGCGACCAAGCCCATGACCCGTAAAAAGAACCAGGGGCCATTCATGGTTCTGCAACTCTTTACACCCGATTTGATGCAATGCACTGAGCCAAATTTTCTGTAGCATTTCATGAAACGAACGCTGAATCCCACCTCAACCAAGAAATATCAAGAAACCTCATGCAAGCAGCACATGAGACATGTCTGTCCAAAGCCAACAAAACAATCGGATTGTATGCTTGCCAAACTATGAAGGTCAACCCCATTTCTTGGCAAGTAAAAAATGAAACAACACATCAATGGCGTGCATGTTTTATCCCCATGTTGCTGGTTATTCCGTCAGCCTCGGAAATATTCCAAACCCATCAGCAAAAATCATTTCCTCAATGGTCATCCATCCCAAATTGGAGTTTTTATATTGGTGCCATTTCAAGTTCCCTAGTAACGGTGGCATGAGCAATGAAAATCCGCCGATATGGGTGTAATGAAACTTTTGACCATTGACATATGAGCAACGACTTTTAAGTGCAGCATTCCAAGAAACATGATCTGTTGCTGAACCGGTTTCCAACACTGTCACAACTTCAAACATCACTCTCTCAAAAAGATTGCATGTCAAGAATTCCTGGGTTTTTGGAGTCCCCCACGCCTTTCTGCAATGATTGATCCAGAGCAAAACCTGCATACGGGCGGATACTACATTCAATTCCAAACAAATGTGGTTGCTTATATATTTCTGCCACTGTTCTTTGCTTGCGCTGCATGCCACGATGTGCTGTCAGTTTCGTTTTTTGCATCGTTTTGCTCTTATTGGTAGACTCTCAAGCATTGTCTTCTCACGAACTTCAGCTCTGCTTACATCTCAGTAAGGCCATGGCTGCACGGATGTCTGGCTACCAGGTACACATGCCCTGCAACCATATCCTGGAAGATGCAGGGCTGCAAATCAAATCATGTTTTTTTAAAACCCAATCACAAGGGAAGAATATGTCATGGCAACGAAAACCCGTTGCAACTTCAAACCCCAAAGAATATACCACGAATGCATGAATGAAGGGTTACGCAACATTCTGTGCATGGATGAACAGGTGTTTGATAACTTGTGGAGAAAACAAACTAGAGGACATTTGAATCTGTCCGACTCTGTCGGACTCTGTCTGACTCTGTCTGACTCTGTCGCGCACCTTTTGCAACTTGATCATGAACTCAACAATTTGCGTTCGACGAAAAGATTCATGTCACACCTTCCATAGCGGCCACAACAACTGGTCACAATGGAACGAGAAATTCGTTTCAAAACATTTAGAAACGCCGAACCAGACGTGGCATTCAAGGTTTGCGTGAGAAGTGACAGGGTCATCCCAGGTCATGACTGACAGATCACACGAGTTCCTGCAAACTCTGGGAAATGATGTCACTTGGCTTGGTGTGGCGAGAGCAACAATTCGGAGATTTCCTAAAATGGGGGTACCCTTAAATCATCATTATAAACATTACAAACATTTACAAACCATCCATTTTGGGGTACCCCCCATTTTAGAAAACCCTCCATTTCTTGCTGTGTCAACTGCGTGCGCAGGAGACCTGGGTGCCCTGGGTGCCCTGGGTGCCCTGGGTGTCCTGCGTCTGCCGGCGGCCTGGCATGAATCCCCGGGATCGAGCCAAACTGTGAGCTGCATGGCCGACATTAGTCAGCAAGGTTATAATGTGGATGATAGCGTGCGACTGTAGAGAACTCCCAAAACTTGTTGTGCCGTTCATGCAAGAACTTGTCAAACACTAACAAAATTAATGAACAAAAAATCAAACGCCGGAATAAAATGAACAAAGGAAGCGAACTCAACCGAAGCAAACAAGAAAAAATAAACACAACAAAGCAAAGCACAGAAAAACGACACTAACGGATTAACTAACTAACCAAATGACTGACTGACTCACTGACTGACTGACTGACTGAATAACTCACTCATTCACTCACGCACTCACTCATTTGTACATAACTGCATAACTAACTAAAACAAAGCAACACAAACAAACAAACACACAACCAAACAACCAAACAACCAAACAACCAAACAACCAGACAACCAAACATGCAGATGAACAGACGAAAGGGAAAGAAAACAAGCAGGCAAACAAACGCACGAACAAATAAACCGTTGACAGGAACGAGAGAAAACAACATAGTTAGAAAACGTTCAAACAAAACCAGACTCCAACTGGACTCCAACTGGACTCCAGCTGGACTCCAGCTGGACTCCAACTCCACAACTCATACATTTCATACATTGACTGGTTTCAATTCAGCCACCTTCATACCCTCAGCTCACCATTGAAGCCTAACATCATGGATGGCCTCCAGTCAAATCGTAGCAAGGATCGATGTGCGAGGACCAATGTGCAGCGGTGCAGCTACAGGAGTTCAAATCCCAATACATTCCACCTAGCACCCCACATCAACATCATCATCACCATCTTCTTCATCATCATCATCGTCTTCATCATCATCTTCCTTCATCATCATCATCAGGACATGATACATCAAACCAAAGAGCAAAAGGTCAAACAACAAACAAAAATCAAACTATGGATCAAATATGTTCAAATTATGGATGCAACACGTTGTTCTTTGTTCGTGGTTACATTTCTTCTGCATGACTGCTTTGAGCTAGCCGCTAGCCTTCTGCAGTAAGGCACCAAAAATGTACAAGTGCAACATCCTCCTCATCACCATCAACAAGTACAGAAAGTGACTTCAGTACTTAGAAAACTGTTTTTCGCACATGAGTCTCTACTGTGGGTGCGCGTGAAACAAACATCTGTGGCGCTAAAGCGGTCTGAATCCATGTGGTCAAATCGCTTTCCAAGAAAAAATGTCTTACTTTGATTTTGAGATCTCTCTATCGGAAACGAAGGCTAGCACACTCAAATCTAGGGATAAACCATGATAAGGAGAGAGAAACCATGTGTTCAGTCAGGAGAGAAACTGCCTGAATTTGACCACATGGATGCGGGTGCAACAGTATCAATGAGCATTGAGAAACGCCAAGGAATGCCATGGGCACCCTGTTTTCTTTGGGGCAACCCATACCTTCCGCCGATCCTTGCAGTTGGCCTCTGGGCAAAGTCACAAAAGCGAACTGTGTGGCATGCTCATTTCAGTTCAAGCGTTACTTGGTTAAAGGGTACAATGCTTTAATGTGATTTCATTGTTTTGATAATAGCTGCAAAGTTGCTGGGTGCTTCTAGATCTTCCACGCTATTTTCAAGGATTAAGCATCAAGCTAGACCAGAGCCCGGAGAAGATCTTTGTTTGAACGCCTGAACCGTCCTGATTTCTACCTCGTTTCTACTGTGCTGGTTCCAGCACACAGTTTCTACGCTGATTGCAACTGCTTCCTGGCATTTGGAACAGTTGTCTTCCTCGCTGTTGCAGCACAGGAGATGAACTCACCTGAGATGTGAGTCTTGTTCGATGCCAAGTGCAGAAGACTAGATACTAGATACATCTAGATACTATGTACTGATGTTATGGTTACTATTACTATTATGTTTACTATACTTATTGAATGGTATTGACAATTATTGGTGGCAGCAATTTGCTGTGGGGTCCTGCCAGAGCTGAATAGATCTGCTTCAATTGTAAGAATTGGTACGCACAATGCACATACGAAGCACCTGCATGTCTATCAAGCATCATCCAGCATCATCAAGTATCAAATTCAAGTGGTCTTCAGTTGCCAATCAGTGCCTCTATCAATGCCTATAGCAATGCGCAAATCAATGCCTGTATCAATGCCTATCAAGCAGAATCACAGTCAACGGCAAGTCCGGCCAAGCTGCTCATGTTGAGAGCCTTTCTCACAACATCCTGAGCGTTCTCATGCTTCAACTTCTTCACAATGCCAAGCCTGGGGATATGGACAGAGGTAGGAATCATTCCGCTGTGAATGATGGAAAACTGTAGAAAAGACTGGCACTGGTAGGTTAGATCAGTTTTGTGGGGGGTCGTTTTGTTTCGAAAGAAAAAACGAACGTGCTCACATACATGACCAGGAAAAAATTGACATCCAGAGTCACGTTGGGGCATGGCTCAGTTTGTAGAAGCAAACATGTTCTGAACAATTCGGCCAAGACACATCAAACTCCAACCCAGGTCCCGGTTCTCATTGTGGGAGACAAGAGTTTGCATGGGCTTCAGTACAACCTTGGCACAGCCGGGTAGTGTCATGTAGTGTCAACACAGCTAGGGGACATTGTCCAAATTATCCAAATTGGTCAAGGCGACTCTGAGTTTTTTGTCATGTTTTGAGAAATTTGGAATACCCTCAACTATTACCTAGGGACCTGGGGCTTCATTTTAGACCCCCAACCCCTGGTCTAAAATGAATATCCTTAGTAATTTCCTTGGCGTTTTTGGGAAAATCCACTTGACCACCCTGGACCTTTTGGGGGCTCCAAGCTTTTGGGTCTAAAATGAAATTCTAGACGCTGACATATGAAGCTATCAAGATATAACATATGAATACCTATGAACAAGTTTGGAAATCATAGGGTATTAGATAAAAAGATTGTTTAAGAAAAAGTTCTAATATGAAGCCAAAAGCAAAAACAAAAACAGAACAAATGGGGGTTGTTCAAACAATGCAATTTGCATCACCGAAAGTTACCTGCTTTTTCCCTCGGTTTCCTCTCGCTTCGCTGTTTCTGAGCATTCCTTCGCTTCATCTAGCTTTGCTGTTTGTTTCAGTTTTCAGGCATTGTTTGCCCACAACAAAGAGAGAATCCACAGAATCTCCCGTCCCATCCCACCGCATTTTTTGAGCTGACCTGTTAACATCATGTATTGATGAAATTCTCTATACTTGGTTATTCTACATTAGAATATTGCACTACGGTTTTACAAAAAGCATTGCGGCGTCGCAGGTTCCTTTTGCAAAAGGTCGGTAAACCCATCCCTTCTGAAGACTACTCTATGCTTGGAACACTGTAACAAATGGTTTTGCAATGTTTCGCAAAGCCCCCAAAATCGGCTTGTGGAATCTGAATTGTTTGGAAAAAAAGTTTGTGGATGAAAACGTGGAAGCTGGAGTGCCCCCTGGCTAGCTGCTGAATTGTTTAGAAACCATATTTCTATTGACCCCACCCTTTCACAAAATACCATGTTGAAATGCCAACTTTGGATGAAACCCTGAGCTTGACGTTTGGCAAAACTATGCCAGAAAAAAAAGATAACTTTGAACATATTCTTCGCACAAGCTGAATACCGGCGCTTAGGGTGCAACATACATGGAAGTGTGGCCCACAAAAAACGGCCAAAAAGGCTTCCAGCTCCAGGTTTTTAGCCCACATGTAGCAACGGATGTCCCAGGCTACAGGGGTCTAATGCGGTGTTCTTGTGGCCTAGGCGGTGAAACCTTCTTGCCATAAACGGGCAATATTATTTCAGACCCTCCCCCTGATGTCTTTTCAACTTGGGGTGAATGTCTCATAAACTTTGTGAAAAGATGAGGGTCTCTGAAACTTCATGTCAGTTGGGGGAGCTTTGAGTTTCAATGTTAGAATTTAGAATCATGTTTTTTGTGTGCAAACGAGTTTAAATACTTTTGACCAGTTGTGTAAAATCACAATTAATTGGGTTCATGCTGTGCCTTTATTGAGCCATATTGGATCTATCTTGGCTCGTTTGGAAGCGATTCGGGGATTTTTGTTTGGCCATTTTCTTCGCGCTGAAAGTGTTATTTTTAGCGCGAAGAAATTGGGCTTGAAACGGCCTATGTTGGACTCATGTTGGGCCATGTGTTTTAGCGAAACGGCTTCTGCGCAAACTATGTCCACAAACTGATCAAGACTACTTGGCAAGCACACATCATCCAAATTTCGGTTGCAATTGGTTCCAAATCTTTGTGTCGCTTGAAATTGGTTCCAAAAAATTGTCAGCCATTGGGAAGGCACACCCCATCCAGACTCTGATCGATAAAATTTCTTGCTAAACGAACTCACAGTCACTGCCACTAACAAATAAAAAATAAAAAATAAATCTACACAAGCAGCGACTATGTACAAATATAATCAAATAATATCAAATATATGATATCCAGAAGTACAATGATATGCATAGAAAGTCGAGGGGTCTAAAATGATCCTGGACCCTTTGAAAGGTGGTCCCCAGGACCCTCAGTACTTCAGGGTATTATTTAGATCTGTTTAGATATGTTTAGATATGTTTAGATATGTTTCGATATGTTTCGATATGTTTAGCGTGTTCTGATCTTCGAACATGTTCAAGTTAGTGATTTTTTAGTGGTACCCCCTTTTGACCCATACCATTGCGGGGCTCATGCTCCAAACTCCAAACATCTACAGTAGTCGAAGGCACCTGGTTGAAATTCTCCAACATCAGCAGGCGTGCAATCAAACAATGGACCATGATGTCACAGTGGGGAGCATCCATCCTGAGCAAAAAGGCAATCCAAATATGGCAAAACATGGCAAAACGGAATGGTTGACACTTGCTCTCGTCGTTTCTGCCACCACTCAACAATTCACGACGCTGTTCCAACTGTCGAGTTAAGGACCACAGAAGGTAAACCACGGTAAACCGTTTTATATTTAAATGATCACAGGAATTCGCTGCCGCTCAAGTAGTCTGCCAAGTGCGGCCATGGATCTTCAACTCTGGCAAAGACAACAGCGACGCTGAGAAGCATTCCTTGAGAGTGTCCCATGGGACCAGGCACCTTTTCATGAGTTCGGCAAGCGTTGCCGCCATGATGTCAGCCTTCTTGCTGTCCTCAGCAGCTAAATCTGCTCAACACTATGACCGCATATGACCGCTGTCAAAGAAAAGGCAAGCTTTGCCCGAGAAACCTTGAGAAATTGCTTGAAATTGATAGAAAATCAGTTTACTCTGAAGCAAAGCATCCTCAAACCCCGTCTCCAAAAGCCACTCGACTCCTGGGGACATGGTGCTTTCGAGAATCACACCCTGTAACGCTTTGGTAAAACCATGCGCATCACAACTGATCCCCAACCAGCCAACCAGCCTTGCTTTGCTTCTTTGTCGCTTGGCTCGGCTTTCGCCCAGTCTTGCTGGAGAGACTCCCCGTCTTTATCATCTGCAAAGTACTCGCACATCTTCCTGAGTTGCAGCGCAAAAGTGGGAGTGCATGAGTTGCACCACCGAAAAGCCATTCAAAAACCATCCAACCCCTTGCCCTTGCTTTTGTTGCCAAGGTTCTTCACTTGCTTAAACTTCCCATGTTCTGGGCATGTATCCGCCTGAGGGCGCTCCTTCTGATTTGCAATGTCCTAGGTAGGCCAAGAGAGGCTTCACTGGGAAAACCCGTCGACCTGAAAGATCCTGAGAGGTACGCAGTGCCATGTTGATCCAGCCGTTGATCCAAGTTGCATCAATGTACGAAGGCCTCGCTCCCGCTGTCTGGAAGGAGAACACGCCTAGGGCAGGAAATCACACGAGTAACATGCATGAGCTTCATAAAACCTCCCGTGTCGTGGATACTTCTCAGTCCACACCAAACCAGCCAATTGCTAGCTCTCTATGCAAGGGACTGCTTTCTCGATCTAGAATAGAAAAGCACCTTAAGATGTTCAAAACTGGCAGTGTCCCCCATCAATAGAAACGTCTAGTGACATCTAGAGGCTGCCGAGAGACTATCCGGCCCTTTTCTGCGACCATTCTGTTGAGCCTTCTGAGCTTGATCAAACTCATCTCGAACAGCCGCCTTCGTCTTGGCCTGCTCCTTGAAGAGTTTCCTCCTTGGAGATGGAAGCAATGACAGCGCAAGCAATACAGTATATCAAGCAACGGTAGATATGGCAGCAACGCAAGAGTTTCAAGTTCAAGAAGCCTTCAGCAACATGCGCAACATTTTTCCAAAAGGTTGATTATCCAAATGACCCATTAAAGAATCCTGAACCGCTATACGATTTGCAGCATTTTACTCCACATCTTCTAGACCTTCAGCATCCTTCAATAAAATGACCCGAAACTTGGAAGAGTTGCGGCCGATTTCTGTGCGAGCAACAGAGGTGAGATGTGCTCTGAAGCCAAGACACTGCCACCTATTCTTGCGAAGCTGGAGCAAGTTTTCAATCCTGATCTCTCCATATCTCTCCAATGATTGATTCATCAAAGGTTGCAAATAGTGAAGAATCATTCGAATACACAAGAAAAGCAACACTCGAATGTGTAGAGAAAGGATGAAAAGGGTTTGGCCAAGAGGCAACACTTTGATTCCTCAGGTGCCCAACCGATCCCTTTACAGCGGATGGTGCAAAAAGTCCAAGGGCTGGCAAATGTCAAACTGATTCAAACACCTTGAAATACTTTGAAATACTGTGAAATATCAACATACATATACAGCATATAATTTTTCGACGCGCGTCTCATGCTGAAAGCAGCCTTGATATCTTTGAGTCTCGCAGCGAAAGCATCCATCAAAAGCTTCCCCCCAAGAGTTTTTTCCTTGTGGCGGTAAGGAGTCACAAATGTCACAACAACTTCAACTGCACATCAAACGAATTGCAACCGAATCCTAACAATCGTGGCCTCACAAGTGCCTCTGGCAGAATTCAACAACTGGACCTAACTCGACCAAGGGTCAGAGTCCACCGTGGAGCCAATTGCTTGCAGCAGCTCACAGGCACATTCGATCATGTGATCCTTCGGAAGTGCATTTCCATCCTGGATGCCGATCAGGCCCTTGACCACCTTCCAAGCCATCGCAAAGCCATTGCAAAACCCACAGTGCATCAAGATTTCTTCGGTATATAAACTGTTTAATAACATTTCGTTATATATATATATTTATGCACAGGTGTTGTGCAATGAAGCGACCGTCTCCAAACTTCCAAGTTCTGACATCTTCTGACCACGTCAGACTTGTCCCGGCCTGTCCAATGACCTTGATGGATAGCAACTGGCGCAAAAAGAGGTTTCCAATAAACTTCATGTTGGCAAGCATCCTCAGCTGACGAAGCCCGAAACTGGAATCACAAAGCACAAATGTATGGAATGTCCCGAACAAAACAAGCAGGAATGTCTCCAAGCATGTCGAGAATGTACGGAACTTGACATCAAAGCCATCTACAGATTTCACGAACCCCGGTCCTTTTCTACGAATATCTGGTTCATGCGATATCATCAGTGTGCACTCTTATCTTGCCCGCCCTTGCTGGTGCAGACAGGGTGCTTGTCCTTCCTCTTCTTCATCTCCCTCTGCAAGTCTTCTGGGTCGGGGAACTTTGCTTTGTCATCATCTGTAGGTTCAAAGTGTGTTGGCAAACTTTCGAACTCATTCTGGACGGTGTTGAGCATAACTCGGGTGAAGGTGAGAGGCCTTTCCCCTTCATTTTCCGGAGGGAATTCCGGGTATCGTTTCTGAAGGGCGAAAACCATGTCTGCATACGTTTCACAGTAGTGTGGCTCGACCAACGCCTTCCCCAAAATGGCCTTGATGACACACTCAAGCTCTGCTGCCTTCTGCAACTCAATGTTGGCCAATGTTTCCACAATTTTATCCAAGTTCTCGGGGCAAATCTTGTTCAACAAAGCACAGACATTCCTGTTCAACGCCTCCATTGGGCTAGTCGGCTTTGTGATTCTGTAAGCTTTCTCTGACTGTTCCAGGACGGGTGAATCCGTCTCAGGCCTTCTGATTTCACTGCTGTTGGCTGACCGAGGATTTGGACGCCAAGGGCGCTTAGCAACACCCAGGCCCAACACTGCAGGATTCACTTCGCTGCGCTGCAGCCTCCAAACTCGCAACATCAGCTCCTTGTTGTAGATTTTGTCAGGTGGAGTCAGCTCCTTGACTTGGTGCTCTTGGGTCGCATCTGCAAGTGGGATCTCGTCGAGAATGTTCTTTTTTGGGGTAGCCTGTGCTCCTCCTCCAGCAGTGGCAGGTGGACCTTGGGTGGTCTTGGGCTGTGCCTGCAGAGCCTCGGCAGTATCCACTGTGGCGGAAGGGTCTTTCTTTTCGAGCTTCTGGTCTTGGATCCTGCCGCGAACAAGACATGGACATGCTAGCCTTGTGTCTCATGTTTGCAAAGCCATACATTACTGTTTCCTATCTGAGGATTGCTTCAACCTTCAGAAGGAATGCAAGATTTTTCGGGTTCTTAAGAGTGCAGGATAAGCTCATCACCCAATTTGTTCTGTTCCTGGGTTGTCTAACATATCTTTCAAAGACTGAGTTCGGCACAATCGTCTTCCCACTGGCGTTGCCACAGTCTGCGGAGGCTCAGCAGCGGGAGGCTACCACAGGCTATCACTTCACCCACATTTTCGATAATTTGCTCAAGGTTAGGACTGAGGTTTTGGACAAGTCTTAGAACAGGATGATGTTCCCGGATCAAAACAGCTTGCTCTGGCACTAATCCAACACATTAAAAATGATTGCTCACTGCAAATGACAAGTGATTCGCGATGAATTGTCGCGGTAAATTGCAGATAAGATACGTGACTTTCAACTTGCTTCTGCGGTGCCTGTTGCAGTCGATGGTCCAATGCAAAAAATGCAAACACCAGCTGCTGACCCATAGCCGTGGTTGCCGTTGGGGCCTGCCCCATAGCAATGCCATCATGTTTACATTTCTGCAGCATTTACATCCATAAAGACAATGCTGTTGGACTTACGGCTGCCTTCCATGCTGCAATGATGCCCTTGTACTTCTCGTCAAAGTACCTATCGGAGTAGCAGCACGCGCAACACCCCCCAATTGAACCGCTGAGAATGGGGGCTCAAAATTTGGCTGTAAACTCACGGGTGTTGAGTGGATTTCCACTTGTCACCTACTCTCCTGCATGCGATGCTTGATTTGCTGCACTTAGACTGCGAGTGTGATGTGTCATTGTCTCACCCATGTGGAAGAGAGCAAGCTTCCAGAATACATATGGGATGCAGCTGAGATTTTAAAGTTCACGCAATTTCAAGACACTTACCAACTTGAGAACGTGTGGCTGTGTGTGTGTGTACTAAGTTTACAAAGGCCCGTTGGCCCACAACATGTGCTTTGCAGAGGTTAGTTGGCTTTGAGTTGTGCAGTGATGTTCCCATGTGTAGCTATTGCCTGATGTTCTGAATGGCTGATTCAATGGACATGAAACCATGCTATGACAAACAAGTGCTGGAAAGGCACGCGGCAATCTGGTCCACCGAGAGGCAACTCCTCTTCTCCTTGCAGGGGTGAAGTAAGAACTGTCAAAGAAAACAAACCTCGCAGCTTGAAGAAATACAGTACAAAGAAATTGCTGCATCCTCCCTGGCCTGCTTGCCCCAAGCAACGAACACAGCCGTTGTACGGTTGCGATCCTGCAGTTCACACAATGATCCCAGGCTGCCAAGTCCTCAAACTGAAAAAACAAGATGTCTGTTCAGTCCTTGACTCTGTGGGCTTTGACATCCAGCGTCAAGCCATCGATTGCGAAGCCAACGGCTTCGCGAAGGATGGCCTGAGGTCGCATTCTGATGTCAACCGTCGCCCCACTACTAGTTACTTACCACTACATACTACCTCGGTCCACGGTTTGCATTACGCAGTGGAGTATTTAGTAGATCCTTCAATGTTAATGTGTGACTTCAATGGCAAAACTAAATGTTTTGAGCACTTTTCCCAAGTGTTGCGATAAACACCATGGTCATACTACTACATACTTACTACTACACTCTTACTACCAGATACTTAATTGGAAGAAGCAATGGCATCCATGTGAAGCAATCACAAGATTCACAAGCCCCGGCCTGTCGCACTCTCACATCCGTCATGGATACCACAGCACAGGCCAGTGAGCTGTGCTTGCGCACCGTGACGAATCTTCCGACCTGGCATTCAAAGTTTTTTGACTTTGACCGTCTTTCACCACAAGGTGAGGCCCCCAAGGCCCCTAGATACCTAATATTTGGTAGATGTTATATATATATATAATATTTCAAAAAAAGATTTCATAATATTTCAAATAAATATCATATGACAAAAATGAAAGGTTAATCTATTATATCATATTATATTAGATTATGTTATGTTATATTGTATTGTATTATATCATGATATTATATTATATTGTATTGATTTATATTATATCAATTCATATCTTTTTTGATTATATATATATATAATATATATATTGTATGTTGTTGCATTATATGATATTATAGTATAATATATAATATTGTAAAAAAGAAAATGTATTATAGGGTATTATATCGTACTATATGTATTTTACTGGTATTGTATTGACTTGTACTATATTGTATTAAATTATATTAGACCATCTTTTATCATATGTCTTACACTATATTGTAGTGTATTGTAAAATATCAAATTGTATTATTTTATATTATATTGTATTGTATTATATTGTATTGTATTGTACTATTCGATATTTTATTGTACTATATCAAAAAATGGTCTATTAGTTTTAATTATAAGAAGTTAAATTCTATCTGGTAATGCTATATTGAACTATATCATGTTTTATCATCGTGTATCGTATTATATCATATTAAATTTAACTACATTATATCAAAGTATATTGTAGTATGTTGTATTAAATTGCAATATATTGTATTGTATTATGTTATACTATATTGTATTGTATTGACGTGTATTATTTTGTATGGTATTACATTATGTGTATATATATATACATATATACATATATGTGTGTGTATTATATCATATTATGCCATATTGTATTATATTATACTATATTGTAGTGTATTGTATTTAAACATGTATATATATATATTAAATTGTATTATATTATATTATGTTATATCTATATACGTATATGTCCAGAGTGGAGCACGCTGCGACGAAAGTGCCCATGAGCTGTGCAAAAATATGTCGAGAGTTAATGGGCTTATAAACCAACTTATACCGGGGGTAACTTATGCAACAACCCAGAATCTTACCCCACTGTCATAAGCGTGGCACAAATTACCTGTCTCAGGGATGGACTTCCAGATTGTACTGGCTTGCAGTGGTTAAGAAGTTAGCTAGTCCCTCTGAGTGGGACTATCCTGTGTAAAACCCAGATACTATCATGGTCATTCTCAGAACTCAAGGTACACACCCAAAAGTCTCTTTGCGAGGGTTCCTTACTGCATGGCCATTGTGTTCACGGACATGGGACATGGATCAGTACATGGGACTTCATTTGCTTAGGACTGTGGCACGTGGTTGCACCCCCCACAAGTTTGCGCCAAGGTACATGTGACAAGGACCTCAGTTGCCAAAATGTGGCTGATTTTCCCAAAGCGTTCGCCCCACACAAACCAAAAAAACGCCTCCTAAATCCTTAAGGGAGGATGGGACCTGCAGAAATTGAACAGGAAATCGTGGAACCAAAACCATGAAATCGTTCGCAAGTCATTTGTGGTCTGGAAATGTGGTCACTGACCTTTTGGGGGTGGACACGTTCACCGGCATTTCTGCCGGCTCGGTCCTTTTTGGGGAACCCCTTGAAACCTTGAGGGACACGCTCACCCAGTTGACTGGGCTCGGTCCCTCTCAGGACCAGGCCCCACACATTGTTGCTGCTCAACCTGCAACAGGTGAGTCAAGGCACTCGAATGTGGACCCCGCAGGTTTCCTGTTGGAAATAGACTACTAGGTCCCTTCTTGGATACCCCAACACTTTAGAAACTACCTTCCAAGAGGCTGTCCCAGCAAGCCTCGCCTGTCTTCAATGGAAGCTGCGATCCACAGCAGCGTTTTCACCAATGGATCTTTGGACGGCCAAACCCAGATTTTGCCACGATTTTCAATTGCTGCGGGTTAGGAGCATACAGATTACATTATATGGATTGATCTGGGTTGATCTTGGTTGGATGCTAGGTTAGCTTTTGGCTATAAATGACATACTGACCCATCCTGACCAGATTCTTTTACGCACGGCATCCAAGATTGGCTAAGTTGTGGATTGCTAGTCAGCCACTTGAATCTCGGGGACAAAATCTCTCTATTAACATCGTTTCAGGGCCCCCATTCGCAACAACTTACATTTCATAGCTTGGGGGGGTTGGATAGATTCAAGTTCCCACTTGAAAAAAGGTAGGATCAGCCAATTTTGGGTTTACAATGCCACCCAAGAAATGTGGTTACTTGGCCCTAACTTGATTAAAAGTCCCCCATTGCCGATAATATGGGACATGCCCAAACACTTGTCCCAAGAATTTCTCCGCTGCAACAGACCGGCATGCGTTTTTTCGAGGCACCAAGGTGAAACAGCTTCGTGACAACTAGCAGTAGAGAATGCAACCGCAAACGAACATTCCTGCTGCGGGAAGTGAATGAGTCTGCCACAAGTCACTTCGCGGTTTCCGCCAGAACACGCCAAATTCAACATGGAAATCGGAAAAATAAAATCTGGAAGACGATTTACTGTATTTACTCTTGGATATGGCCGTTTTGGGGAGACAACGTTCAAGTTACTGCAAATTTCGTGAGCGTATCCCAATCAGCTCTGAGTGGATTATTCAGAAACAGGAGAACAAGACCAGCTTTGGGTGGTTGAATATCACAGGGGATCGATTTCCCCACGTTGATCCAAACAATGCCATCCCCAACAGGATACTGTCAGAATACTGTACACCTAGCTCACTATCTGCCAAAAAAAATCACTCTGAAACGGGATGAACAGGAAAGGAACGAATCTGCAAACCGATTGGCCTCATGCCGCCACAGCGCCATGCCATGGGGTGGTCATGATTCTGGTACTTCACTACATCAAATCATGTAAAATCATGTAGAATCTGCGTTCGGATACAAAATATTCGAATGGTGGAGAGGATCGGCAAATAGATCCCCACACCACTGAAAACGAATCCAACAGTGAAAATGGAGAGTCCATGATTGCTGTCCCACTTGGCACTCCGCTGCTGAGGATTGCAGCCATTGCTCGTGAAAAAACCTTATAACGTACCAGTCAGTTGTTAAAAATATTGCCCATCAAATCATGTGATCTTACTTAGTCATATCATCTATGAATCTACAATCATCTATCAACATCTATCATCATCATCATCGTGTAGTGTCGTGAATATGTTATAATGATATCATTTCATAACTTACAATGTCTCATGATATCTCCATCTCTCCCCATCTTGGACTCCCACCAGGGCATCCAAGGGGATCCTGGCAGGACAAGGTGGATTTTTTTGTTGATCAACTGCTTGATTCAGCTGTTGTTGATGTTTGCAGCCATGTTTCCAAAAACATGGCACCCCTTTGGATGGTGAATCTGTGTGAATCTCTTAAAAAAAGGGACACTATGGATGTAAAGATCTGTGTGTTCAAAGGTTAAACTTTTTGCCACAAATCAAGAGTGGTCAGCATGAGAAAATTGTGGACTGCAAGGATACCTTAGGTCACCTGAGGAAATGGTCACCAGAAAAGGGCGCCTCAAAAGGGGTCTCCACAAAATCTGTTGGCAACGCATCTTTCCAAGCTCGCGATGAATCCGATGAATGCGACTCAGAATCAGATATAAATAGGTAGATAGGTTTGTTTTCATGATGATTTGATGATTTTGATCCACAGAATCAGCTGATCGCACCATGTTGATGTCAGTCACACCCTATTTTGCATGGTCAAGGTGTCAATCATGCAGGGACGTTGCCAGAGGCTGATTGTAAAAATGATGGATATTGAAATTGATTTTTTATGGAGTTAGCCACTATAGGCACCCTCACCGTTGCAACAAACGCACGCGAAGTCAATGGATCCTGCACTTGGACGTGTGCAAGAAACTGCGAGAGCAGACCTTAGCTGGGCAGATCTCTATCCCTGTGAAGTGGCCGATCTCAACAAAGTGATGAACACTGTTCTTGTAAGGTTGTAAATTGTCTTCGTTTCAGGCAGAGACAACCAATTCTTTGAATGAATTTCTGAACAAATTCCAAAACAGAAAAACTATAGATCTATGATGATGTATGTATGAGTTCAAGGTAGCGCAACAATGGATGAAACCCTTAAGGTGAAAAATTGACTGCAATCTGTCGGTCTCAGTTTAGACCCAAACCCACACCTGCGAAGTCTAGTTGCATCCAACGGAGAAATATGTTTAAAAATGTCACCGTTTCACATTCATTCAAGGGCACCTTGGTTTGGGGGGTCCAATCTCCTGGTGATCGGCCAAATGATTGAGAGCTTCACAAGCCCCGGGCCAAAACACAGAATCTGTGAAAAACGCATTGGCGATTTCAAGCACAGTGGCGGCCACGATCAGGGCGTGGGAAATTGCAAGTCACTTCTGAAATCTTCGGCCACCAGGTAAAAACCTTCACACTAGATGTAACGTTATCAGAAGTGCCCCTAAAAACAATTATTTCTGTTTGACGGAAGGATGCTGCAAGTTCTTGTTATCGAAAGTCCATGGATCTTGACTGCATCCATCTCTTGATGTCTGAGCCACAAAATTCTGAAGCGAATGTTTCATGAAATTCTATTCAGAATTGTTTCCTGAACAAGAATTCTATGTGGTTTTTTCTGTCCCATGGTTAGACAGAGACCCAAAATGAAAGGGACACGTTTCCCAGTTTTTGCTGACAATTTAGTGATTTGAGTGTGTGTGCCCATCCCGCATGTGTTTTGAAGTTCTGGATCAAGTTTTCTCAAACTAAAAGTTGACATAGAAAGAGGCAAACCGGGGGGGAAAAAAATGATCAATGCAGCACATCTCGTTTTGGGTTGACCTGGCGAGCCAATCAAACCACATTCACTTAGGAGATAATCCATGTTCGATTGGATATCCAATGTCAGCTAGTTACGGATACATAATCATAGTTGCTGAGTTTCACATCAACAAACGCAGTCCCCATCATCATTGGGTGCATTTTTTTTGGTGTGTTTTTTTTTGGATGTTTTTCCCCACATCTTTGCGTGGGATTCTTGTTTTTGATTCTGTATCCCGGCTCCTCCTCCTCCTCCTCCTGCTCCTCCTCCTCCTCCGCCTCCGCCTCCGCCTCCTCTTTCTCAACCACCATCTCTCACACACATTCAACCACCATCTCTCACACACATCTTTGTCACACACCATCTTTCACACACAACCACACACCATCTTTCACACGCAACTTTGTCAACCACCATCTCTGGCACACATCTTTGTCACACACCATCTTCAACCACCATCTCTCACACACATCTTTGTCACACACCATCTTTCACAAACACAACCACACACCATCTTTCACACGCAACTTTGTCAACCACCATCTCTCACACACATCTTTGTCAACCACCATCTTTCACACACATCTTTGTCAACCACCATCTTTCACACACATCTTTGTCACACACCAGCACTTGGCGACATATGCCTGCGTCATCTTTGTCGGCAAATCGAAGTGTATCGATTTCAATCTTGCCTATGGCTGCCCCAACAAAGATACAGACTGTCCCAAGGACATCCCTGTATGAACTGGTCTTGCCACAATGCAAAACATTGGTACCAGTCGTGTCAGGCCAAGAACATCCAAAAATGTTCTGACCTTTTTTTGCAACGATATTGAAATCTGCGAAGAAAGATGGAGCGGTCTTTTGAGCCTCAGGGCCTATGGATTCCACGTCTGAAACTGTGATGAGTTCACATGGTTTTCATGTGCTCAAATTGGAGTACCTGACAGGGATGAGTGCTGAGTCAAAACGTTCGCACTCCTCCTAAATTTTCTGAGCTTCAGCTTGGAAATTTCTCCTGTTGTTTTCGACCAGCCTACAGCAAATTTTGCTGTGACCTCATCCAAACTTTTCTAAATTCTTTCCATCAGCTCCACCTTCAGTGAAAAACTGTCGTGCAAATCTTTCGAAATTGGTCTTTCTCTTCTATGGTCCGAATCTGATTCCGAGCTGTACTTCAAATTCCTCCACATAGCGAAAAGTCTCGCTGTGCGCGATCTGGAATGATTGTTGCTCCTTCTGAATCTTGCATCTAGGCCTTCAGTGATATCCATGAGAAGTCTCTCAAGTTGCTCTGGAATCAAAGGAGTTCCTGGTGCTCCTCTGTCCAGCGCCATGAGTACCAGCTGTCGAACTGCTGCCGCATCTGAGTGTTCATGCAACGCCAAACATTCATTGAGTAGACTTTGAAGTCTGTTCACAACTTGTTTTCTAGTGTGGACGTCCATTGCATCATCCACTTCCATCTCTGATTCTTCTCCTTGTTCTTGTTCTCCTTGATCTGTGGTGTCAACTGCTGCATGAATTCCAGTTGAATGCTGGTTTACCAATCTCATGTATCTTTCACCACCCATCACTTGAAAAGAAGTCAAATTGGCTCGCTCAGTTGCATACATGTGCCTATTCTGATCCGCAGTGAGTTCGTTATACCTTCTGAACCCTCCAATTTCGACCAGTCCATAGTGGATGCTGCTTGCATAGTCCTGGAGAAACTCTAAGTCACGTGCCGTCTCACCAAGACCAAATTCTGCTGAGAACAGCCTTCCACTGTAGTCGGTATAGGCTCCATCCAGTTCTGCAACCTGAACGCCCAAATGATAGTGCTCTCTTTCCATGACTGTCATTCCATGTTTCCACTTTCGGTACAACCAGTAACCTGCACATCCAAAAATGACCCACGTGGTCAAAACCAGAAAAATACAGACATAGTTGAGCATGTTGGATTCTACCATCATCGCTGTTGTTACTGTTGTAGCATCACACTGGTCTCGGAGAGAACCAATGTCACATGTTGATCCTTCCAGCTCGTTCGGAAGAAACTGCCCGTTTGCACCATTTGACCCAAGGCCCATGATAGTGGCTACGCGCATCAAACTCTTTGCCAGCTGCATGATTTGCCTTCTTGAGCCATGTTTTTCTACCTGTTCATCATGTTCATGCTGTCCAATGATTGTCAAACCATTGTCTTTACACACTCCAAGCTCATGAAGCAAAACTTTAACTCTTTGTTGAGGAAGCGCCTTCGTGCAAAGGTCAGCCACATTCCATGCTGTCGGTAGCTGCTGCAAGAAAACATCACCTGACAAAACATGCTGTTGTATCCAGAGTATCTTGCCATCCAGATGTCGGACTTTTCCTACACCTTGTTTTGATGCCAGTTGTCTGGCTGAAGAACTGTCTGTCAGCAGGTAATGAGAAACATCAGCTCCAGTGAGAAACGAAAGACAACGTCTGATGTAGATACCATCTGCCAAAGCGCTTACCATGCCATGTAGCTCAGCCTCGCAGGATGAGAGGCTTACAGTTCCCTGTGTCCTTGAAGAACCGAACACGTAAAACCCGTTGATCAAATGGATGCCAGCGCTTGTACTCTTCCTGTGTTCCTTGTTTGAACTCCAATCTGAATCACTTGCACTCTCCAGCACCCAAAACGACTCATTGGTGTTTTTCCATTTTCCTTGGCCACCTTCAGGTTCTGCGATGACCATTGCGTAGGATGCTGTTCCCTTGACATACCCCATGACTTTCTTGAGCCTTTGCAACGCCGTCACAGTTGGTTGAGCCATCTTTGCTGACAACTCTTTGACACAAAACAAGAGATCCGGTCTGTCCCTTGCTAAGTAAAGCAAACCTCCAACTGCAGATCTATAGGCATAGGCATCACGGGAAGTCAAGTTTGAAGACACATCAGGGAGTTGTATGGAAGAGTCACATGCCACATGCTGAACACGCACTTGACCAAAGTAACTTTCAAAGTTTTCCACCAACTTGTCGATGT